AAAATAGCAATAATCTATATACAGATATAATGCATAATAATTGAAATTTGACTGTATTTTACAAAATACTAGTCTACTAAAACACAGCCAAGACAAGTTACTTTACACAGACTAAAGGTCAGTTTTATGTTATTTGATACGATAAAATGAGTGTACGTGAGCCACATCATTGTAACTTCTGTATTGTTAGCCAAGCATGGCTGAAAGATCAGTATAATAAAAATAATAAATATATATTAATGTATAATGTTATGAGATTTATGCTATTTAGTCTAAATATTTATGTTTTCATGTTATAATATGTGTTCATTCTAGAATGAAAGAGGCATAATTTATGTTTATTTCCTAATTTTTAAGGTGGTTGCGAGATCGGTCAAATCTACTTATCCCGTACAGAGATTAATTCCTGAAAATAACAGATAAAATATAAAGTTTTTTCTTAAGAAACATTTGATAACTATCTCGACATTATAAAGACTGCATGTGAAATTTCAAAATTTTCTGATGCATAAAAGTATTTTTAATCTTAAAATGAATATTACTTGCGAAAAGAAAAAAAAAGACACAAGAAAAACATTGTTTTATAAACCTTCAGACTTAATGCTTATGGAAGCATTGTAATATTTACTGATAAACTGCCAAATTTTGTTAACAATAGCTTACTAATTTAAAAGTTATAGCATGAAAACTATAACAAGCACAAAATGGTTATGAGGTTGGTTCCAGGGACCAAGCCTGTTCTGAAAAAGTTAACTATCACAATTTTTCTGGCTTTTTAACTGAGACAAGAGCCATTAAAAATTCAGCTAAGCTCATTAATGTGATTTCCATGAGAATAAAGATTGAACTGGAATTTAAATAGACAATTCCCTATACATAAAGTGATGTAGTATAGTACTTAATTTGATACATTAAAACTTTGGCTTTCTATTGGTTATAAATAATATAGTATTAAACATCAGTGAGAACTATTGGCAATTTCTTAAAGAGAGGATGTGACAGGTGGGCTTGGGGTGTAATTGTTTATTTTGCAGCTCTATAACCAAACAAGATTGAAGGCTATAAAAATTATGCTTTGGCTGAACGATTACAATATTATAATGAGTAATTTACATTAAATTTCTTAATTATCATAGGTGTGGTAAGTAAATTAGAGAAGACGGGATACCTAAAAAGCAAGTGTCACAATTATCATACTAGGGAAAATTGGGGATGTTTTTTTTTTATATTGCATTATAGAGTTAAGAAATTTGGATTACTAACTATGTTTTGATGCCAAGCTTATATGTATGCCATGATAATGAAGTAATTAAATTTTGAATGTAATTCAGTAAAACCTTGTGACATGCATCGAAAAAGATGCCTGTAGTGAAAGTGTTAAAGAAGACTAAAAGTTATGTGGGTAATGGTTTTTATAGAATAATTATACACTTATCTCATTACACATTTTACAGGGTGAAATGCATGTGATCATACATTCTTTTTTATATATATATTTTTTCTATGTTTTGCACTTTATACTTTGAACCTGTTTTTTTATTTTAATGTGATTTTCAGATGGTGTGGGAACAGCAGTCTACATTAATAGTAATGGTGACAACTTTAATGGAACGTGGGCGAGTTAAATGTCATAAGTACTGGCCGGAAATATATGACACAGTTGAGTATGGACGTCTTCAAGTGACTTGTCTAGTAGAAGTAGAAAGTCCGTCCTTTGTCCAGCGGGAGTTCACCCTCATACATACTGAGGTATTTTATACTTATTGTCTCATTTCAACTTTTCACCAACCTGCTGTGCATTAGAAACCTTTGTTCAAAGTCATGATCTTAGTAGCCTGTCTAATTATCATTCACATGAACTGTAGTTACTATTAACATCTCAATTATCTATCATTATCACATGCACTGTAGTTACTATTTACATTTCAGTTATCTATTACTGACATGTGCATTGTAGTTACTATTTACATCTCATTGTTCTCTCATATTGACATCTGCACACTTTCTGCTCCTGAAGAAGAGTCCACTTTGCAAAACTGCTCAAGCTTATGGGTTAAATTAGTATTTTTAATGCAAGTATTATAGTAATGTTTATGTATTGATCATCTCTTGTAGTGACACATGGGCTAAAGTTACTATTTAAGGTTCAGTCATATTTCTGCATCACAGGGACTGTAGTTACAATTTGTGTATTAGTCTCCTCTATTTAAATTGGAGCCATCTTCCTTATCAATGCTTTCGCTATGGTCTCTGTCAAAATGGCTGAGTTCGTGGTCCCAAATTGACCTCAACTGTGTCAATACTATAATTTCTAATATGTTTTGTGTATCTTCTAGAAATTTTGCAAGCTTTCAGTAAGTATTAACCCTATGGTTATGGGACTTCCTTTTTGCGCATTTCTACCCTAACTGTATACAAGGTTGGTCAACTTAATTGATCTCATAATCACCATATAAGCCTCTGAAATATATATAAGTGATTCTCTTTTCCTTTCTAGAATGTCTTCAAATTGTGACGTGTAGTAGCTTACATTACCCTATCAAATTACCTAATGCATGAGCTACTCGCGAGCGTACCTCATGAAATTTTTTTATTATTATTGTTATTTATTTTACCTTATCTAACCTAAAACGTTTCTAATGCTTACATTTTGGTTATTTTTATAATAATAACTAAAGAATACACAGGAAAAAGGAGAAATATAGTACTTACCTGTTTTTTTTTTGCTGTTGTGTGTTGATGAAACATAACCCTACTTTTGTATACCAATGGTACTACTGCACTAAATAATGTTTTATATAATTAAATAATGCACCAAAAAACATAGAATAATAACACATGTAAAGCAAACAATGTCCTATAACTATCATAAATTTTCTGGTTTTCTAACTATGGGACAAAATCTATTAAAAATTCAGCTAAGCTCTTCAGTGTGTTTCCTGTGGGAATAAAGTTTGAACTGGAAGTGAAATAAACAATTATCTGTACAGAAAACAAAATAATGTAATATGTCATTTTGTAGATTAAAACTTTGGCTTTCTATTGGTTATAAAAAATATAGTAGTAAACATCAGAGAAATCTATTGAAAATTTGTGACAGGTGGGTGTAGCAAGAGGGATCTGATTTTTGTAGTTTATGGCTCTATAAACAAATATGATTGAAGATAAAAAAATTATGTTTTGCCTGAATAATAACAATATTATAGTGAGTAATTCACTTTAAATTTCATAATTGTCTTAAAGGTGGCAAATAAATTAGAGAAGAGGGGATACCTAGGGAGCTAATGTCACAATTCTTATTCTAGGGGGAAGTGATAATATTTTTTAATATTGACTTATAAAATTAAGAACTTAAAACTTATATAATATTAAAATGTATATTACTAGCTATGTTTTAATGCCAAGTTTATATGTATACCTTGATAATAAAGTAACTAAATTTTGAGTGTAACTCAGTAAAACCTCGTGACATGCACAGAAAAGGATGCTCATATGGAAAGAGTTAACAAGTAGACTGTAGTTACAAATCTAGTCATGTGTTCTTCTCATTTGGACTGCAGTTGCCATTTAGTCTTTGTCATCTCTCAATGGTAACACATAGACTGTAGTTGCCCTTAATGTCTCAGCTGTGTATGTTGTTACCATTTGTACTGCAGTTAACATTAAATCTTAGTAATTTCTCAGTGTCATATGTCTCATTACTACTTGGACTGCAATTACCATTTAAACATGTATCATATCTCATACTTCATCAACATGTCTTAAATTACAGACAGTATTTATAGAATCCAAATTACCTCTAACTATGAAGTATTATGGTTATTTATTACCAGGTGACTTGTAACTTATTATTTCAACTAAAAGTGGTAGTTGGCAGCCTAATGTTTTTCTGTGATTCCTAGAGTTCTGAAGAAAGACATATCACTCACATGCAATATACAGCATGGCCAGATCATGGAGTGCCTGTGGATGCTAGTGACTTTCTAGAGTTTACTGTGAAGGTTAGGCAAAACAGAGTAGGAGTGGTGGAGTCCACTGTAGTCCACTGCAGGTACGTGTGAGGATGAAAATTCTTAATAAACTTTGAATGAAAAAATGGAGGGATTATGGATGCTAGTGATTTACTGTGAAGGTTAGGCAAAACAGGGTAGGGATGGTAGAGTCCACAGTATCCATTGTAGATAGGTGTGTGAGGATGGAAAACTTAATAAACATTGAGTTTAAGAAATATGTGTTTCAATCATTTTCTATTCAGATTTGTATAAGAAACTGAAAATATTGTTTTACATTCTGATAGCAGTTTTGTAGTTCTTTCATATTTGAGTTTCTCCATTCAGCTACATAACTAAGTGTGTGTCATACAGTAAATGATAAAGGTTGAAACAAAACAGTATCATTAAACAAAGGTAAAATATACTTGCACATTACACTTTGTTAGTTTAATACAGAATTGGACAAGTCATTACTTACATTCAGAATCTGTAGCCTTACTTCTTGGTGCAACCATTATCTGTGTTCGAATTTTGTAGACTTATTGCATACTTGATCAAGTCACTACCACTATTTCACATATGTTTATTTAAGTCAGTACAAATAATTGACATTATTTGATTTAAGTACCAGAATTTTATATCTGTGGATTTAAGGAAATTCCAGTATTTGAAATGTGTAAATTTAAGTCGGTACTAATATTGACATGTCTAGGTTTAACTATGTGGATGAGGCTGATCCATTTAACCAATCTCACATTGGAGAATTAATGTTTACTATGAATTCTATAATTTCATATTTACTTAATGTATCTTTAAATATCATTTTCTCTAATTCCCATTCTCTTTTTGTTTTTTATTTTATTTTTTTGCCCTCTGAAAACTGTTTAAACATATTTTTTAACTATGATCACTTTTACGTCTTTCATGTAATGTACACATTTCTTTTGTACAAACAAAACATGAGACCATCGTGTCCAATTATGATTGCCTAGTCTCCAAGGTCAACTAATCTGGTATGTCCAGCTTACATGATGCTAACATTTGTACTTGTATATTACATTGCACTCATTAATCAATACCCCTTATTCTCCTTATCTAACTATAGTCAACTATTCAAAAGTGCTTGAGTTTTGGGTTTTTTTTTATTTGTTGCACCTTTTGTGTGTGATCCTATATGCTAACTCTTTTTACCAGGAAAAGTGATTATGCTGCTTGACATTTGTAAGTTTAGGCTATACCAGCAAATGTGATTATACTACAAGGGATTTATGGGTTTAGGATATGCAAGTAAAATTGAATAACATATGCTTGTACTTTATTCTTTCATTTAAAATTGAAATTTATCAAGCTCATATGTACCCTTAGGTATGTTGATTAGTTGGCATCTTCTTACTTTGTCTAAAGTTCTTAGTTGTAATATTTACTTATTGGTTATCTGAGTTTTCATGTTTTTCTTTCGGAATCTTAGTGCAGGAATTGGGAGAACAGGAGTTTTAATTCTAATGGAGACAGCTATGTGCCTTATTGAGGCCAACGAACCCATTTACCCTCTAGACATTGTCCGGGCTATGAGAGATCAGCGAGCAATGCTCATTCAAACTGCTGTATGTCTTTTCTTTTAATTAGTATTTATCAACTAAATTTTTCTTAAACTGGAAATTTCCTTAATAAATTGTGATTTTTTAGATAAGAAATTTGGAATGTAAACCAGTAACATGTATCTACTATGACTGCTGTTTCTTTTAGTAAACCATGCATTTAATCAAGAAATTACTATACCTTTGAGTAGTGTTAACCAAGAAATTATTGTAACTGTGAGTAAATCCTGTAGTGTTAGGCAAAAAAAATAACTGTATCTGTGTTAACCCTTAATCGAAAAATTGCTGTATCTGAGAGTAGACCTGTACTGTCAAGTAAGAAAATACTGTGTCTGTGAGTTAACCCTATAAGTTTAACCAAAAAAGTTACCGTATCTCTGAGTACACTTTGTCAAGAAATTATCATATGTGTGTAAACCCTATAGTGTTAAACAAGAAATTATTGTATCTGTAAATAAATTCTGTTGTGTTAGCAAAGAAATTACCATACCTGTGGGTAAGCCCGATAGTATTAACAAATAAATTACTGCTTCTCTGAATAAATCCTGTAGTGTCAACTGAAACATTACTGTATCTGTGAGAATACTCTCTAGTGTAGGTGAAGAAATTACTGCATGTGTGAGTACCAGTGAGTGTACCTTGTGTTAATTAAGAAATTACTGCAACAGTGAGTAAATTGTATTGTTAGTCAAAAAATAACTATATTTTTGAGTAAATAACTATATCTATGAGTTAATCACAAAAATTGATGTTTCTGTGAGTACACTCTTTAGTATTAATCAAAAAATTGTGTGTAAATATAGATTTGTTCTGAATAGTCAGCAGGTGAAGTTATGCAATGAAGTATGGATAAATAGGTTTGTTCTTATTAGTTAACTAATAAAGTGATGCAATGAAATACAGTTGATACTATAGATTTGTTCTGAATATTTAACAGATGAAGTTATGCAATGAAGTACAGATAATACTGTAGATTTGTTTTGATTAGTTAACAGATGAAGTCATGCAAATACAGTTGATACTGTTACGACTCTGTTCGTTTGTTAATGTCCGGTATAAATTATTTCCGAGGAACTTCTGCGATATAAGTCCTTTCTTAATTAAAACTAGTTTATTCTTTCTCGATACAACTTTGTAATACACAGAATTTCCACAGTCACTTTAACTTAACTACTTTTATAAAAACACACTATAATTCACAGCGATTCACACACTTTACTTACGGTGCCTACTGTTCGCTTAACTCAATTATCTCAATCTTCAATCTATCTGCCTATGTAATTCTATCGTTTTTTGTTGGCTTCATTTGCTGGGCTTATATACTAAAAAAGAGGGTGCCTTGAACAAACTAGGAAATTCACGATCAATCGAGAAACTCCTTGCACACGCCACCAGCGCCAATGCGACAGCAGCGTCACGTGACTTTCACTGTCATAACAACACTATAGATTTGTTCTGAATATTTAACAGATAAAGTTATCCAATGAAGTACAGATAATACTGTAGATTTGTTTTGATTAGTTATTAGATGAATTTATACTCAATAGGTAGTTATACAATCAAATGTAGAATTGTGATATATTAATAGCTTTACTTGTGTCAAGAACTTACTGTATCTGAGACTATACATTGTTCTCTTAACAAACAAATAGCTCTATCTGTGAGTAAATCTTATAGTTTTAACCAAAATATTACTATATAGGTGAATGAACCCTTTGGAGTTAATCATAAAAATTAATATTTCTGTAAGTACACTGTACTCTTAGTCAAGAGATTACTGTATCTTTATGTAAACCATATATTCATAATGACGAAATTACTGTACCTGTAAGTAAACCCTGTATTGTCAACCAAGAAATCACTATGACCCGTTTTCTAAATGCCTGACAATAAGAAAAGTCGTACATTACAATTGATTTTTCTACTGTACTTTTCAGCCTACTATATACTTATTTGAATCTACACTCTCAGAACAATTGATTATGTCTATGAATGTCTTAAACTGATTTTTTTAATAAGCAGAACGTTTATGGTATAAGGAGAATTTTTTCCCCTCTACAAACCACTGTTTTAATTTGCTATGATATGAATATCTCTTGTCTTTATACCTATTTAAATTTTGTATATTTCAAGTTTTTCTCAAATCAATATATCAATCATAAAATTAATATTTATTTTGTATCTTTAACAGGAGTTAACAGAATTCTTGAATTCTGATTAGATGCTTATTGATAATTTGTTTATCTTCCCCCCTTTTTTTTTTTAACTTCTAACATTTTTGTTGACATTGTTTCAATATTTGAAAAAAAAAGTTATGAATGTTTTTTTTAAAGTATTAATAGGATCTTTATCTTAATGATTAAGTTGTTCTTTATGTCAAAGTTTTAACTTATTAGACTTAAAAATTTGTGAATAACATTACATGCTAGATTTGTAACAATATTTTTTTTAGTGTTTAGTTTAAAAGTTTTTATTACTTTCAAAACTGTTCAATCATAGTAATTTTAAAAATTAGTTCATTTTCCAATTCTCTCTTTAGGGCCAGTATAAATTTGTGTGTGAGGCAATTTTGAAAGTATACAATGGTAAGTTAATAAGAGTTTCATCTAATTTCGTATATATTACTACTATACAGTTAATATGGTAAACTAAAAAGAAAAATATCACTTAGATTATAAATTTGTTATGGTTAGTTAACATTTGAAGTTAAGAAATGAAATACTGATACAGCTGCAAAGTTACAGATGAAGTTATGTAATGATATATTGATAAGACTAGATTTTTTCTGATTACTTAACAGGTGAAGTTATGCAATATAGTACAAATATGTAGATTTATTCTGATTTGTTAACAGATAATGCAATGCAATGAAGTATGGATAATGTAGATTTGTTCTGATTAATTAACAGATGAAGTCATGCAATGAAGTATAAATGATACTGTAGATTTTTTCTAATTAATTAACAGATGAAGTTATGCAATGAAGTACAGATAATGTAGATTTTTTCTTATTAGTCAGCAGGTGAAGTTATGCAATGAAGTATGGATAACATAGATTTCTTTTGATTATTTATTAGATGAATTTATACTTAATAGATAGAGTTATGTTATGCAATGAAATGTAGACTTGTAATATATATGTGTGTGTGTGTGTTTATATCTACATATATAAAATGTATTAAATTGATGAGAATTTGAATATAATGTATTGTACCTGGTCAAGAAACAAACTAAATGAGCCAAAATTTACCTGATGTAAAACTACAGAAGGTATAATTTTGGACTAGAAAAACAATGGCTATAACTTTCAAATAATTTTGATATTGAGGATATTATTTCTTCAGTTATCCATGTAATTATGGGTGAAAAAAACAAACTTGTGTACTAACAACAACAAACGAGTTGGTAAATCAATAAATGGATGAGACCATTTAGCCCAGAATGTCTAGTCCAACTACACATCTAATGTTCACAACTAGTTGTGAGTATAATAGTTATTTTTTGGTACTAATTAATATAGAATTATAACACTCGCCACACAGTATAGGTACCCAACTACCACCCATTTGGTACAGTTTTGGTTCTTTTAATTTGCTTCTTGTTAAAACACAATTTGTTTGGACATACAGATACGTGAACTTGTATCTAAATCATATAGTACAACATAAACAGATAGTGACATTATACCAATTCCAGAGAGAGAGAGCTTTGGTAATATCATCTAAAAAGTTTTGAGGATAATCTCGTCTCTCCAATATTTCTCAAACACGGCTGTGAAACTAGTCTTGAATAACAAGTGTAAATAGGGTAAATCCTAGGTACTTAAATCAACAATTTCCTAGGTTTTTAACTCCTATTTACTATTCACGGTTGTGGTAGTCACTTTTCATTATAGAATTTCAAAAATCAAGCAATAAAACTATAATATAATCCTCCTTTTTAATATACAATGAAATTAAATAAACTCACCACTTATGCATCATCCATACTAAAAATTTTTATAGTTGTTATTAAAGTTATATAATTTAATGCAAATTTTTTAAAAGAAGCAGCACTGTATTACTTTCCTATGTAGCATGATGAAATGCAGTATAATCTGCCAACCACCAAGCTTAAATTATACCTAATTTTAAGTTACAATTTAATGTTAACCACGAGTCAAAGAAGCTAGGATTAGCCTAGCTTCTTGATGTTTGTCTTTCTAGGTCATATTTCTTGGTTTAAGAGCTGTTGTTATCAATTAAGCAAGTAATGATATTTTAGATATAGAACACCCTCTTTAAAACGAATATAATTTAAACTGCTGGGAGAAAATGAAATTCCAATATGGTATATTACCTCCTCTTACGTAAATAGCTATTCTCGTTCAGTGCTGCACTCTATATGCAAAAAAAATTTGTATGCATGCCATAAGCCTTCTATCTCCCCTCCATTGGAATTGACTGATTCCGATGTGTGTCTCATGCAAATCATCATATGTCAACCATCCACCAATAAGAGTGCAACATACTCTCATGATGCATGTGACTCCCTCTATTCAATTCTACCAAACTATCACTTCTCATTTGGCACTACTCATGTTCAGACATTTTTTCTTTTGGTGCTCTTCATGTGAATGGGGATGTTAATAGTTTAATTACCAAAGTGGAATTTCTTCATTTTTTTTTTTTCTTTACATTTAAGAAAGCTTTTAACTTAACTTGATTTCCTAGTTTTTTTGTTTTTTTTTCTCACACTCGCATATTTTCCGTCAAACACTTTTATTTGATATATGTATTTCTACAATGAATTCCGAGGTTCACATTCCCATTTCAGGTGTTACACCTCTATTTTCACAGGCTGCAAGGTATGAGATTGATCATTATATAAGTTAATCTCCTTCTCCTGAACAAACCAAACCTTTTTACACCACCGGATTCTGCTATGTCTCTCCCTAACCCTCCTGCAGAATCATCTAGGCCTAATATAACATTTTTTGACATGATTTCTCAGATGTGTGATGTTTTATTCAATTCCTTATTACCTCCATGTTGGCTCATTTGTCATCTTAGGCTCTTGCTTTACACAATTAGTTTCAGTATTGTTGGGATCTTCTAGGTCATGATGTGAACTTTTCCAGGTTCATTTGCTGCCTCTTTTTTTTTGGGATTTACTTATGGCCCTCTTTTCATTGGCGATATGTTTTCGATCATGTATCTGAGACTTTGGAATAACGTGTGTAATTTGAGCATCAACACTTTCCTCGCATGTTTGTCGCAGTTGGAGCCACGACAAGCACCTATTTCTTTCCTGTCCTGGTCCATATCTACCCTTCCCCGTTCCTCCTTTCAGGGGTTTCTCATCTCGTCATTTTAATCGAAGGGCATGTCACCAACAGGACCGGAGACTAACCAGTGGGAGCTTGACTATATTATATTGTTACCCTTTGGCAATCTTTCACTACAGTTCAATGGGTACTTTGGGTTTTATCACAGGAACTATTACTATTTCTTTCCCCACCTTTTATGTCTCAGGTACCCTTTTTCTTCCCCATGACTTGGGATCCTGCCATCAACCAGCATCTGTCTGAGGTGGTAAAAGATATTCTGTCTCAACAGGCAATTGCACTTGTTCATCACCTTTCTCCAGGCTTTTATTCCAGGTTGTTTGTTGTCCTCACGACAAACTAGAAACTGGCAACCTGTACTAATTTTCCATCTGACCCATTTTACCTTGAACTAGTTTTTCACCCTTAGGTGAGCTTTCTCTCCAAGTTTATCGAAGACCCTTAGGAATGTCGCAAATGATTATTTGCATATCCTGATATCTCATCACTTGTGACTCTCTATTTGTTGTTCTCCATGGGGTGGTTTATCGGTTTTGCACACTGCCCTTTGGATTTACTTCAGCCCTGTATGTTTGTTGGGCGGTCAGAGCATTCATTCATTCATCACTTGTTCTCAGGTTGTGCTTTCCTCTTTTTTTGGATGACTGGCTACTATTATCTTATTCTGAACAGGAGTCTGTCTTTTACCCTTACCAGCTGCTCTTGGAGCTTTCCTCTTTCTTTGGATGACTGGATACTGTTATCTCATTCCGAACAGGAGTCTGCCTTTAACCCTTATCAGCTGCTCTTGGAAGCGACTATAGTGGGCTGGTTAATCAAATTGGAGAAGTCCTTACTGTAACCTATCTAATACCTTGTCCATTTGGGTGATTTTTCTTTTTAAATCTTTTGACACGGGGTCGGTCGATTTGAACGAGTCACATGACCTTCTGTACACATTTAAAGTTGACATCAATTTAATACTTATAACTCTCTATATATTGGGTTTATCTTCACGAAATTTGGCAGGCTTTCAGTTAATATTACAAGTCTGTCACATACAAAAAGTCATATTTCTTAGTGAAGCACTTGTAATAAAATAAAATAAAGTTTTGTCCATGAATATATTGAGTATTTATTTTGAATAGTCTGTGTGCAAAGTAATTTTCATGTTAAAATTAAAAATACTTTTCGCCATTTCTAAAATCTCAAATTTCCTTTGTGTAATCCCTAAAACCTTCTAAATACATTTCAAACGTTTTTTTCACTAAATCCTTATAGTTTATATGTTATTTTCTCTACCCTAATCTCAAAACTGGATCAGTCAAATCGACTGACCTCGTAACCACCAAAACAAATCGAAATAAACCTAAATTAACTTTTTTCTTTCTAGTATGACTTCAAATTGTAACCTGAAACTACAGTCGTTTATCCTAAATATCTTTTTATTTACTTAAATAATACACCAAAGGATATAGACTAATAACACGCAAAAAGTAGACAAATTCACTTACTTCTAAAGATTTTCCTGGCTTTCTAACTATGAGACAAGAGCCATTACAAATTCATCCAAGCTAGTCGTTAACTTTCCAATGGGAACGAAATTGCTATTCCGAGTGACATTGACGGTTATCTGTTCAGAACACAATGTTATACAAAATGTCATTTGATAGATGAAAAACCTTGACTTTCTATTGGTTATAAGTAATATATATAATGAAACATAAGAGAGAACTATCAACCGATTGTGAAAGAGAGGATGTAACAGGTAGGTGTGGCAGGAGGGGTTTGATTTTCTCTTTGATAGCTCTGTAACAAAAGAAAATTGAAGGCCAAAACATTATGGTCTGTTTGAGCAATAACGATTTTATAGAGAGCATTTTACGTTTAATATTGTACATTTTCGAGGGGTGGTGGATAAAATAGGGATGATGACATGCTAAGACAAAATTTGTCATGTGTGTTACACTAGTGGAAATTCGGATTTTTTTTTATATATTTCATTTTAGAATTAAGAACTTAAGACTTATATACTATTAACATATGGATTATTAGCTAATATTTTATACTATTCTAATTGGTATAACGTAAACAAAAAGTAGTTTAATAAAATTTTGAATGTAAGACACTAAAACCTTGTGTCATGCTCAGTAAAGGGTACCCGTGCAGAAATAGTTAAACACCCATCTCGGTCTGGCCCACCCTTCCCCTCTGCTTGTGAGGTTCTGTCACTTTTGGGGCTCTGATCTTCTATGATAGCCCTTATCCCCTTAGTTCAGG